TGAGAACGGTTTTTTTTTTTTTTTTTTTTTTTTTTTTTTATGTTCGCGTTCGGAGGGTTTTTGGGCGCTTGTTCGTGTTCGGGTGAACATGTTCGCGTTTGCCTCCGAACGCGAACACGGTGCTACGTAGGTTTGGAGTTTGATTTTATTTTTATGAAGTGTATTGCGTGGTTAAATGGACCGTCATAGTCGACCGGCGGAGAGCCGCGCTTGGGAGATCAGCCCTTAGAGCGCCAGTTCGCATACGGGTCCGATTAAGGCGTTCAACCGTGCGTACCCTCTATATGCTACAGCGTACGATAAACGCCCTCGGCCAGGCCACCTCTACGATTGCACTTAAGCAACTTTCGCACGTGGTTTGGTAGCTCGACGGGGATACACCTGTCGAAGGGTGGTGACAGCCCCTTGGGCAGGGGTAAGTTGTGCCTCACGTGGCCCCTATCCTGTCGCAGGGATTTTTGAGAGCTGCGGCTGGCGCACTTGGCTGGAGCGGGGAAAACTCCCTTGCGATAAAATTCATGCAAAATCTTGCGTGATGCGGCTGGGGAGGGACCCCTTGCGGGACACAAGGAAGAAATATGTGAGAATGTAGGCCCTCGGCCGTGCTGGAAATGAGCTTGCACGCCCTAAGTGAAGGCGGGCCAGGAAGATGGACGCCGACCGTAAGTGGAGGTGGGCGTGAGAAAAGGGCCCCCGTGGGTTGGTTGAGAGCAGCCACCACCTGTAGATTAACTGGTAGGCCCAGCCCAACAGTTAGCTGCAGAGGCTCGGTCTTCACGGCCCTCCCAGTCGGCCTTAGGCATTTCCTTCTGGGTGCGGTCGAGGGTGGACGTGGCCTGCTTTGGACCACAAAAAGAGGAAGGCCGCCCAGCCAGAGACATTTGGGCATTGAGACTGAGGGGGCTACACTGCTGGAGGTGGCAGCGAGGAGGAAGGAGGTGGGCGCCATCCATAGCCAGGCTGAGCGCAAGAGGCTCGGTCGCACGCCCTCCCTTCAGCCGCTCGGCGCCTGAAGGTAGGAAGCTGCTGTGGTGCCAGCGAGGAGGAAGGAGGGGGTCCCATCCATAGGCAGGTTGAGCACGCCATAGCTGGATGGTGGGAAGTGCGGTGATCCTTTGATGAGTGAGAGAGAGAAGGGAGGCAATGGGAATAAGACACGTACCTGGTGACGATGAAGGTAGGTTGTCTGACCATAGTCTTCAAGTGGCATGAGGCGATTGACACTTGGACCATTGCTGGCATGTAGATAGGTTAAACAAGTAAGAGCTAGGAAGTAGGATGGGTGTTCAGGACGCTGGTAGAAACAGTATGTTGTCGTTGCTTTGATGATTGGAGGCGCCGAAACAACTTTCTTGATAGGCTAAACAAGTTAGGAGCTAGGAAGTAGGATGGGCGTTCAGGATGCCCGTAGAAATAGTACGTTGTTGTTGCTTTGATGATTGGACGCGCTGGAAGGGCTGTCTTTAGCAAGAGGCTTCAGTCTATTTCTCATTGAATTTCCTATTTGGTGTGCATTTCGCGTTGGTTTCTGCTTTCAATTGGTCCCTTTATGTCTGGTCTTCTCTTCTGTGAGATGTTGCAATCTTTTTTTTTTTTTTTTTTTTTTCAAAAAGTTAAGCTGTGCTCTTCTCTTAATGGGGGTTGGGCCACAAGTATCTGGTACTGGCTCTGGGGTTCGACCAGTCTATGCCTAACTCTGCTTTGTGCGGGGAGCAATACCGAGGCTCCTAACCCTGGGTGCGAGATGGAAGGGATAGCAACCTACCAAGACCAGCCAGGGGGGGCAAAGGCTCAAGAGCCAACTATCTCAGCTGGTGAACCCGAAGCGTGCCACAGGGGCCTTGGGGGATCAAATGGATGACGTGGGGTATTGAGCCCACGACCTGGTCCAGGGCTAATCATTTGCTGCGAAATGTTTTTGCTGATTCCCCACCACCGCTGCCACCACCACCACGAGCCATCTTACCTGCATCTTCTACTTCATGATCCCCGCCGTCGACTGCCTCTCGTACTTCTTCTCCTCTTTGTCATTGTCCTCATCATCAACAGATTCGTGGTCAGGTTGGCCGTCCCAGTGCGTCTTTGGCCGAGACATTCCCCATCTCCACTGCCGCCTCCCAGACAGAGGCCTCGTTAGTACATGAACAACATGACCATAGCGCCCGGTGGGAGTCAGAGGTATACTCCACCACCATGCTCGCAACAGTATCGAGAAAATTCATCGCTCCTAATACACGCGAGCCAGGAACAGTAGATACCGAGTCCGCTGTCGACAATGTGGCGGCGACTTTTACAGTGTTGCAGGTGTCCACCTGGTATGAGGTGCGGTCGCCTGTGCAGCATTTGCATGACTAGCAGCCACTCTGAGCACAAGTGCAGCTGATCAGCTTCCACTTCTTGCATCTACACCCACCCACCCACCCCCCGGCCCCCCCACTTCTAATCTACTTCGCCCTGATTGCTCCCCCACTCCCAATGACGATGATCCACCCTCTTGCATCTGACCCCTCCCCCCCTCGTTTGGTGGAACTCCCTGCTGGAGATTATCTGTCTCCGGAACGCATGCCAGGGCCATAGGAGGTATCCATGGCAGACGTATTGGACACAGGGGGTCAAGACCGGAATGAACCTCCCTCTTTTATGCAGTCTGCAGGATCAAATGATCTTGCCGTGCTACAGCCAGGCCACTGTGCGTACTATGCCATTACTACATGGCTCCTCACTTACAATTGCTACCCCTGTACTGCTGCTGATTTTGCAGACATTGTCCACTGGATAGAGGAGGAGCACCCTTTCTTGGCAGTCTGCCCAGAGGATGACGGTACTGCGGCTGGCGTGAACACGGAAGTGCTATCTATGGCATTTCTGGGAAGACGACTGCCGCTCCTCAGAATTACATATGCCTGAATCGCCTGACCCCCAACTTTCGTGCTTACATCGTGCATCACCCAGGTCATTTCAGTGAAGTTACCTTGCGCCGCTTGCGGATAATTCATGGACGCTGTAGGATAATGGCGGCAGGGTACACTCGCTGGGTAATATTACTTTTTACTATTACACTCCCTGGGTAATATTACTTTTTACTATTACCGAGTGGTTGATTCCCACTTGGTCTGGCAAGTAAATCAGGACTGTACGTGATGCGCACTTTCCAAGATCTGCAGCCTCCAGAGAACAATCCGGCCGACCCTTTCCCCTTCCCTAATACCTGGCCAGGCTGTGTCCCTTGCCTTTCAGATCAGACGGATTCCGCTGATGTGTGTGTGTACCTTGCACAGTGATGCTTTTCTTTCTGGAGTTGTGTATATCGAAAACGGCAACACACAAATGCACACACACACACAAACACACACAAACACACTGCCATTCTTGTCTAGGTCTGCAGTGACAGTCTTCTAGGATTGCAGGGTTGGTGTGAGTAAAGTCTGACCACTTTTCTCTCTTTCAAGCGTATTGGGTGTGTGTGTGCTTGTCCATCAGTCACTGCAATGACACAGTCTGGCACAGTCATATTTCTTTTGCGGAGTTGTGCATAGCAAACACGACGGCACACACACAAGAAGCAGGTGTCTCTAACACAAGCAGTTTCATCAGACTTTCTCTGTGTCTGAAGAGAGAGAGAGAGAGAGAGAGAGAGAGNAGAGAGAGAGAGAGAGAGAGAGAGAGAGAGAGAGAGAGAGAGAGAGAGAGAGAGAGAGAGAGAGAGAGAGAGAGAGAGAGAGGGAGGGGGGGGGTGCTTTTGAGATTGCACAAGGGTACCGAATGCAGTTTTATCAAGCACTGGAACGAGAGGTTAATTGTGCATGCTTGTTAAAGCGGAAGCCCTGCTGAAGGGGGTTTGCATGAATTGGGGGTGTTGAGGGGCATCTGTGAATTTGCTCATCTCGGACTAATGAGGGCCTTTGATGAATTCAGGACGGGTATGCCTGTCCCTGATGGACAGCCAGTGGTGCGATTGCTGAGGAGGGTCTGCAGTTGTTGACGATGACCTCCCGTGGGTCCTACAAAGGGTATAATTACGATCTCAAGGACAGGTGTCATGATCATAATTGAATCAGCTTACTACGTCAAGGCTGTGTGCCTTCTCCTGGCATGCTACTTTTGTTCCGTACTGTGTTTATGGCGCAGATCTTATTTGATCGCATTTTGCAACTAATCTCTCTCTCCCTCTGTCTCTCTCCCCCTCCTCTGTGTGTGTGTGTGTGTGTGTGTGTGTGTGTGTGTGTGTGTGCGTGCGTGCGTGCGTGCGTGCGTGCGTGTGTGTGTGTGTGTGTGTGTGTGTGTGAATGCTCCACATGTGTGTTTATTTTGTGTTGTGATGCAGGTCCCTTGCCTGACTTCTTGGCACATGTAGGAGGCCGGAAAAGATACTGAGGGGTGGATGGCCATCAACACTGGAAGAATTACTCGGTGCAAACACTGTTTTTTTTTTCTTTTCTTTTCTTTCTTTTTTTTTGCTTGAACAACACAAGCCCCTTCTATTCTAGGGGGCAACTCTGTTATCGAGTATGATTTTCCGTTTTTCTTCCTGAATCACTAGCAAGCAGTAGGGAGTAGAAAGGGGGCTCTCGTCACTGGAGTAACGTGGAGTTGTGTAGCAGATGTCATAAAAAGGCTGATTATTTGAATAATTTTGAATTTAATACAATTTATTTCATTTCACAGTTTTCAGTCGCATAGAAAACAAATCCTTTTTTTTTTGTTTTTGAAGAAAAACTGATCCTTTTCATCTCATCAGAAGTAGGTGTTTCTCAACCTTCCATTGAATTTTGCACTCCGTTTTTGCCTTGGTTTACCCTTCTTTTTTTTTTTTCTTTTTTTTTTTTTGGTCCAGGCGAGTGCAACTTGTCAATATGTCTACGGCGGATGCATCTAGTCTTTGCGGTCTCGCCCTCGCATCGACAAGTCAGCAGTTTGGTGCCGACACTGTCCTTCTGAATGCATCTCACAGTCACCTCAAACAGCAATTCTCGGAGATGCGGTTTAGTCAGAGAGCGTCGATCATGCGCGTGAAAGAGCAATTGCAGGTGAAAACGGGCACAGCGGTGGAGTTCATGCAGCTTCAGCTGAAGGATCCGGACGGCCAGACACTCGTGGGCGCGTTAGAAGATGACAGGCTTCTCGGATTCTACTCGCCTGTGAACGGGTACTGGCTGCACGTGATCGACCACAACCCGAATTCGCTGCACGTGGGCGGCGGATTCGAAGATCTCTCGCAGGTGGAGAAGTATGTGATGTCTGAAGAGGACTACGAAAAGCGCAGCGAATCGTATCGCAAATTCAAGAAGACGATGATGGCCAACGATCCGACGTGGACAATTGGCAAATACATGGCAGTGAAAAGCGGACAGGACGTGCCACAGCTGCCGGACGGACCAGTGATCGACGAGAATTATGGCGCGGATTTTGCAAAGGACGTTAGGGTAGGTGATCGATGCGAAGTGGATTTGGGCGGGAAAAGAGGTGTGGTCTCATTTGTAGGGAGAGTGGAGGGGCTTCCCCCTGGCTTTTGGGTGGGAGTCGTGTATGACGAGCCTGTGGGAAAGCACGACGGGACTGTGAAGGGCAAACGGTACTTCGACTGCCCTCCCGGTCATGGCGGCATGGTTCGGCCAGATCATGTGAAAACTGGAGATTTCCCAGAAAGGGACCCTTTTGAGGAGGATGAAGATGAGATTTAGGGGTGCACTCACACTTGGACTTTTGTCACGACTGCATGCGGCTGCAATTGCGGTCAGATACGTCTAGCAAAGTCCTATTGTGAATCCGCCCATATGAGTCATCAACGCTCGATAACCGCATTTTGATGGTCATGTCTCCTTGCATTAAATTTCGCGACCGCCGGCGCACTTCCACACTAAGAGTGCGTGTCTCTGTTTGTAAAAGTTTGTGTTTTATTTTCAGTGCTATTTCTGTGTGCTGAGGTGTCAAAAACGTTTTTTTTTTTTTTTTTTTTTTTGTTTTTTTTTTTTTTTTTCCCCCCCCCCCCCTCTTTTTCTCCGCTGCTACTGGCTGTCCTCGGCCGTTCGTGATATGTGATTTGGGATTACGTATGTGCACCGCTCAGAATGTACCAGATTCAGATTCAAGTAGAATTTTGAAAAACATACACGCCACGAACGCCATTGCTGACGAAACGAAGGACACGTGACCTTGACACAGCGGAGTCGAGATATTACTATATTAGGAAAGACTCAGACAAAGTGGGCGCATCTCATAATAGAAAGAATAGCGAGAATTTTCAATCTGCTTTGAGGGTCACAACTGATAGCGTATGTCCCACAGGTTACCCTGACTACCGTCTTCGCCCCAATAGAACGCCCGGTAATTATCCCCGTATCTGGGCTGAAAGTTGTGGTAAATACACAGCTGTAATGACCGGGCGTTATATTCGGGGATGAAGACGGGCAGCTGAGAATTTTGAACGCAGAACCGCTCCCCAGGTTGGATCCGATCCAACTAAGTCTGGACGCTGCAGATCATTGGAAAGATTCGGTGTATCTTGAAGAATTTCGAGAGAGTAAAATGTTTGAGAGANTTTTTTTTTTTTTTTTTTTTTTTTTTTTGGAAAGAAAAAAGAAATGTGGAGTGTTTCTGTGAGTTTGCTCTTTTTCTTTTTTTTGAAAATTTCTGAGTCTCTTTCTGTCCCGGCTGAGGTGGGAGTTAAGTGCTTGCTCTGCATCTTTTGTGGATGGAAATATGAAAACAAACAAACAAACAAAAAAAGATATGTGTCCTTGATGAACTGCGTTGATTGGCGCTGAAGCAGACGGATGAGATGTTTATTTATTATTATTTTTTATTTTTTTTTCGTTGGGGGGGAGGGAGTTGGAGGGGCATTGTTGGGGAGCAGCACCTGCGGGTATGTTGGGGGGCGCTTTGCTCAAAGAGGAGGACGATGCCGCAAAGAAGTGTAAATCTGCACTACACAACCATCCACCACCAACAACCAGGCGCGAAAGCGCCTGTGAAAATGCAATATCACCGGATCGACGTCCCGCGACAATGCGCAGGTTGACGGAGCCGCCGTGGTAGGTTGGGGAGCGAAACCGGATTCTCAAGACGAAATGCAGAATCTTTGACTCGTAGAACCTCCGAGATGCGAGCAACCTTCGATTGCCATCTACAAGTGTCTCTCTCGAAATAGAAGACATGGTCATTATTGCTGTATACTTGGAGCAATTTTCAGTCTTCGTACAGTGACAGTGACTGTGCATTCGCTTTGGGGTGGATACAGAAGGATAGCAAATGAACTGAAGAGTCAGACGCGCGATACATGCTCGCCTTCGTACAGTGACAGTGACAGTGACATTTGCATCCGCTTTGGGGTGGGTACAGAAGGATCAGCAAACGAACTGACGAGTCAGACGCGCGATACATGCTCGCCAGTGGGCATGCACGGAGAGACATTTTGCCGCAAGCGCATGACCAAGGAGATGCGAAACGAGATGATGAAGATGTGAGTTGCAAACAGATGTACACTACTCGCCGGCGCTTCGCGCCTGGTTGTCGAATGGTCATTGTAGGGTCCCATGGAAGGTTCCCGTCGATTGGTGGGGAGCGACACCTGCTGGACATCGGGTCGAGTGTCCCACCGTAATCTGCAGAACTGACCGATAATCGAGTTTGAGCTTTGAAGATAGCTAGCTAGCTTTGGAACGCCGCCTCAGAGGGACTGACGGCGTATCCTACCAGCAGTGCAACTGATTGTTATACAAACTCCACCCCAACCTGATTTGGCACCGAAATTCATGGGTGTGTGAAATCTATATTGATATACCCTAATATAGCCTACTTGATTGACTACGGTAGTACGAGGGGCAAACCCCGCCTTGGCAGACAGAGGTTGAGAAGACAGGAGATGGAGGGGTTGGGGGGCGGTTGAGGCTCGGGTGGGGATGTTGGGCCAGTTGGTAGCAGTCTTGAGATACATGCACAGGTGACTGTCCCGAGGTAATTCGAGATTATAAAGGAAGTTATTGTAGATTATATGCCAGGCTACCAGTCGGGCCTCACCCGAGTCACCTTGTTTGCCCGGGCGGCCCGGCCATGCAAGGGCCAAAGAAGGTCCCAGCAAAAAAAGAGAAAAAAAAATCTGAAAAACAAACTATGTTATGCAGAAAAATGAACTGAACAACTTTTGCCTCAGGGTAAAATCGGAATTCCTTACCAAAAATTAAATAAGAATTAAAGTTAAACCTAGGCTACCAGAGTGGCCCCGGTCCACTTGCCCGGCTGGGCCAAAAAAAAAAAAAAAAAAAAAAAAAATTTGGTAAAACGTAAAACTTCCTTAAAAGATTTTTTTTTTTTTTTTTTTTTTCAAGGGATGTCCATGGTGTCGTATGATCCAGGCACTCCGGCCTGGTTCATATGGCAGCCGCTTTTGAATTATAAAAGCCGGAAAACGGGTCTGGCGTCCCTCACATCATAGAAAAGGTTACAAATTACAATCCATTCCAAAAATGCTCTGCAAATTTAGCGAAATGACAAAATCCCTATTGCGCACAACACAGATCACCTAAAGAAAAAGCAGCAAAAACAAACCCTACAAAGGCAAAGCCTACCACCCTTGAATATCACCCAACCCTGAGATCCACTCTGCCAACCGTGCGGCAGGGGTCTGTGACCACAGACCAGGCAAACCCACCCACCTCCTCGCCATTCAAAACAGATCACTCCACCCCCCCCGTTGCGTACCCTAAAACACCAACTCCCTCCATGATGGTGAATTAGCAAACTCTCAGAAATAGCCTACCACCCGAGCGGCAGGGGCCAAAGGCCCCGCAAAGCCCACCCACCTCCTCGCGATTTAGGGTAATCTGCACCCTCGTCCATGTACACTCCCCAAATTAGATCTTCACCTCCCCCCATGATGAAGATCCTACAGAGCAACGCTCTCCAGTCCCATAAGAAAAGGATGATAGAAAGGACCCCAAACACTTGTGAAGAGACGGACGCGATTCCGAAACATCAACGAACCAGCACAAATGCCCTACCACCCGCGCGGCAAGGGTCGAAAGACCCTGCAAACCCACCCTCCTCCTCTCGATTTAGGGCAAACTGCTCCCCCAGTCAGCATCAACCCCCTCCCTAAAAGCCCCGCCGCCCACCATGACAAGGTCTTTGCAAAGCCATACTCCCATGTACATCTCTCCACTTCACAGTCAACCAACGACACACAGGAAAACCAAAAACAAAAGGCAAAAACCTAAATCACTAATTAGACTGTTAACCTAATCTAACAGCAGTTCACAATCGCGCCTGAAACGGCAACCAGAATAACAAACGGGAAAACCGGAAACGGAAAAGGCAAAAACCAAAATCGCTAATTAGACTCTTAACCTTATCTAACAGCAGTTAACAATCATGCCTAAACCGGCAACGAAAAAAACATTCCTCTATCATGACGAGGAAGAAGCTTGCCAGCAGTTGCCAAGAATAAACCAAGCACAACCCTATCGTGCCGAAGTCGCCCACACCTTCACAGCAGCAAGGGGACTAAGACCAGAGTCGCAGGAGTCCTTGTAAGCGACTTCCAACAAGCAATGGCTCCAGCTCCATCACCATTGGGCACCTGCGATCCACAAAGCTCCGACCAGGGGGCCAAAGCCCCTGATCAAGATCCGTTTATGGTATGTTGGCGGCTAGCAAACCCTGCCTCGCGGTCAACCACACATGCGACTCTCTCCCTCTGCGACCTCACGAGGATTGCCGGCTCCACCGACCAAGGCCAGCCATAGCCAGGGGCGTGGTAGTACCCCTGCTGGACAGCAAGCCATCGCGCGCCCACACCCGCGCTTCGCCCCCTTGAGTCCATGCCATTCCTCCGGTGAGTTCTGGCATGCATGCAGTGCCTGCGTTGCACTGCGTGCGTTAGCGATCCCCCGCCGCTTGCCGCCGCCCGCTTTTAATTTCTTTCTCGATGTGACCCTGAGGCAAAAGTCGTTCAGTTTATTTTTCTGCATAACATAGTTGTTTTTCAGATTTTTATTATTATTATTATTATTTTGGCTGGGACCTTGCTTGGTCCTTGCACGGCCGGGCCGCCTGGGAAAATAGGGTGACCCGGGCGGCCCGGCTGGTAGCCTAGGCCCTAGAGTTAAAGAATATCTTTTTAATTTTTAATTTTTCAATGTTTTTTGGCCCTGCCGGGCAAGTGGTGCCAGGCCACTCTGGTAGCCTAGATTATAACCCTTTTTTTTTCTTTTCCTTTTTTTCTTTTTTTTTTAAGAAACCAGCCTCAACCCATTAGAGAGGGTAATAATAGCACCCCCCTCTAGTGTGCCCCGGCTGGCTGCTCCAATCTATATAGGTGGGGAGTGTGGGGAGCGACACCTGCTGGAAACCGGGTCCAGCGTCCCATATAGAAGTTACATCCAAGGACCAAAAGCTGCAAACCGGGTCCAGCGTCCCATATGACGTCGATCACCCAAAAAAAAAAAAAAAAAAGTCAAACCCTATCACTCAAAAAACAAAAGAAAAAAAGTAAAACCCCTGCCCAGCCCTTCCTGGCAGTGATCATGATGTATGGACCTTCTTTATTGAGCTTACGTCACTCTGCGTCACTTTAATTGCTGCTGCTGCCTCCTCCTTCTCCTCCACCCAACTGAGGTTTCAAGTTGTGGGTGGGAGAAGCAGCCAGCTTCTGCGCTGCAGAGCACCTGCTTCTCCCCAAACCTGTGTAGATGGAGCTGCACCACTAAGGTGCCCCGTCGTAGCCTCTCCTGTGCTGCAGTCTGTCTATTG